AACACTTTGAGCACTGATTCTGAAGTACCAATTATGTGCTAGAAATTATGTTTGACTCACTGGACTGAGAGAAAGAGATACAAGCTGAATAAAATCAATTTCCCTGCCCTCCAGAAGTTCACATTCATGTGATGAGTCCTGGCATAGCCAAAATATTTCAGTATATTAAAGATCACTTGAGGAACCTCTCTGGTGGCTCAGGGGTTAGGCTCAGCGCTATCACCGCCATGGCCTGAGTTCGATCCCCGGCCAGGGAGCTGACCCACATGGCACAGCAGACCTCTCCTGTCTCGCCTGCTACTTACCTCAGCAGTGTATTTCAGTTCATCTGCCTGTTCTGTTCCCCACTCTGTCTCTGGTGAATCCTCTCACCTCCCCACCCCCTGTACCTCTGGTCTACACCCTAGTTCTTGTATGCATAAATAAATAAAAATAAATCTTTAAAAAAAAGATTGGGGGCCTCCCTGGTGGTGCAGGTGGTTGAGCGCAGCGCTATGAAGCTGTCTGCAGCCTCTGCAGTGCTGGTTCAATCCCCACTGGCCATGGAACAACCCACACGGCGAGGCAGACCTCTCCTTTCTCACCCGCTGCTCCCTTCAGCAGTATATTTCGGTCATTCTGCCTGTTCTGTTCCCCTCTGTGTCTCTGGTGAATCCTCTCACCCTCCCGCACATCTGGCCTGTACCCCGGTTCTTGTATAACTAAATAAAATCTTTTTTAAATAAATAAATAAATAAATCACTTGAGGCACAATGTGGAAGATGCAGTGATATAAGGGTAAGCAACAAAGTGATGGGAAGGAGATCGCTGAGGATTCTTACAGTAATTCAAGTGAGAAGTCATACAGCCCTGAACTAGGATAGGATATAGAGAAGATACAGCGTCGAGGAATAACTAGAACTTCATAATACCTTTAGTGGGAGGAACTATGAGTTCAGTTTGAGACATGATTGGCTTATTCCCATCCAACATCCAGAGATGCTGTTCTAATTTGTAACTTGCGGCTATCAGTATGCAATGAGTTGCATCATCAGCAACCACCTAACTGGAGTATTGAGAACACAAGAGACCCCCTGTCTCATGAGTAAAATTAATAGGCTAGGTTAAAATCACAGCAACAAGGTATACGTACATTAAAGATGAATGTTGTATAACTGTGCATAGCAGTAAGAAGGAATGATATAGATGAAATTCAAATCATTCCTTTGGGTTAAAAAAAAAAGACATTCTCCCCTCCCTCTCCTGAAAAAGGAGTACATACTTTTTGATTCTATTTATATGAAATTTTACAAAATGCAAACTAATCTATAGTGACAGGCAAATGAGTTTTGCTTGGGAGTTGAGGGTGGGTCATGGACAGGGGTGGGAGAGATTAAAAGGGGCATGGGATCTAGGGTATGTTTGTGCTCATTTTCTTCATTGTGATCAATTTCCCAGGTGTATACATATGTCAAAACTTACCGAATTGCACACTGTTTATGAACTTCATTGTATGGCAATTAGACCTCTGTAAAGTTGTGAAGACGTGTAATCACGCAGTGATCCTCAGGCAACTTCCAACTAACTTCCACCTCAATTTGTTTTTCAGGATTCCTCTTTGACCCCTTTACTGAACTCCCTTGAGGAAATCACTTTGCTTCATTAGCTTAAGCAAATTCCCTTTTGTTCTCAGAAGGTGCCAGTGCAGGTTTTTCCAACTGAAAATACAAGGTAGCCTTCTCAATAATTAAATATAGAGTTCTTCATTCCTCTTCCCTCAATTTCACCTTAGTCATCAAATGTCCTTAAAGATGACTTCTAAGAGCTGACTTCTAGAGCACATAAAGGAAAGATGAAAGATAAAAATAAAAAACTTTCCCCAGCAACTTCCACTCTTGTTATGTGAATGAAGCCAAAGATTTAAAGAGGTGACTGATTCTTTTGGGGTTATTAATAAAGAGGACTGTAATTGTGAAAGAAGGGTGACATTCCTTTGAATGGCATTCTCCTTTGAATGGCATTCTCACCCACAATTAGTTTGATAAGGGGACTAAACAAACAGATACCCAGAGATAAGGAGATGCGGATTGTTTAGGTAGGAGTATATTTTTTTTCCCTGTTTCAAAATATAACCACAAAATGAACTTGACCAATTTAAAGTTTCATAATTTCTAACCATGTCTATATTCCTGAAAGTTTATATATGAAATAAATGTGGTGAATGTGTGTGTGTTAAGTTGAATCATTACTTTCAAATTCATTTATCATAAAAAATAAACTTGAGGGAGCTTATGAATTCTGCCTCTATAAGTTTTGTGATATTAGGCAATCCCTTAACTTCCAAACTTCCTCCTGTGAAATAAAAATAGAGTTGACCAGGGAGCATGCGGGGATCGAACCGATGCTGCAGAAGCTGCAGGCAGCTTCGCAACCCAGCGCTCAACCGCTGCACCACCGGGGAGGCCCAGGGTCCTGCATGGCGCGCAGACCTCTCCTGCCACCCACTGCTCCCCTCAGCAGTGTACTTCAGTCCTTCTGCCTGCTCTGCTCCCCACTCTGGCTCTGGTGAGTTCTCTCACCCTCCCGCGCTTCTGACTGTACCCAGTGCTTGTATAAATAAATAAACAAATAAATCTTTAAAAAAAAAAAAATAGAGTTGACCTTAAAGGCTGACCTGAAGATTATATAAAATAAGAAAGCCATAGAGCCTAGTACATAGAAAGTAGTTAATAATACTTTGTGGAATTTGAATTGTAAATATCTTTTGAGGTGTAATTTCGGAATCCCTTATCTCTTCTGATAAGCCTTCATTTGGTTATTACTCAATATCATAACTTTAAGCTTATCCTTCTCTCACCTTCTGTCATATTAATAATCTGAATCCACAAGCAGGCAGGAACACATTAAAGGAGTTTGCTACTTAAAACAATGACAATTGGGTCTCCCTTGTGGCACAGGGGGTTAAGACGCAACCTATGAAGCTGTCTGCAGCCTCTGCAGCACGAATTCGAGCTACCCACATGGCACAGCAGACCTCTCCTGTCTCGCCCACTGCTCCCCTCAGCAGTGTATTTCAGTCAATCTGCCTGTTCTGGTCCCCACTCTGTCTCTGGTGAATCATCTCACACACACCCCACATCTCTGGCCTGTGCCCAGTTCTTGTATGCATAAATAAATAAATCTTTAAAAAAAATGACAATTAACACACATCAAACACTTAAATGTACCAAACAGTGTTATATGTGCTTTTTCTTGATTTGTTATTCAACCTTCACAACAGTACTATACAGTTCATATTATCATTACCCCCATTTTACAGGTTAAAAAAAAAAATGAGGCTAGACAAAGACTTTTTCCCAAGATCACACAGTTAATAAGAGGCATGGAGGGGTGGAGGGAGACAGAACAGGCAGAAGAACCGAAAACACTGTTGAGGGGAGCAGTGGGCAAAACAGGAGAGTTCTGCCGTGCCATGTGGGCATCTTCCTGGCCGGTCAGGAATTGAACTGGCGCTGCAGAGGCTGTGGACACCTTCACAGTGCTGCACTCAACCCACTGCACCACTGGGGAGGCCCTAAAATATATTCTTAAACACTTTTGTTAAACAGATCATTCCAGACTTAGCTACTGGGTAACTTTTTGATAGTAAGTATCTTGAAGGGACTTTCAGAAATATTAGATCATCACCTAATGACCTAGCTAGGCGTGTGTGTGTGTGTGTGTGTGTGTGTGTGTGTGTGTGTGTGTGTGTGTGTCTGGGATTTTCAGTAATAGGGTAGGAAGAGCAGAAGCCCTCATTTCTGACACAAAATTTCTAGGCAGCACTATGCAGCCCACTTTCAGCTTTAGCTATATAATACCAAAATATCCCAACTCATACTCCAGGCCAAACCCACAGAAGAGAACAGGCCAGTCCAAACAGCCAAGCCTGGAAAACCTACACTTTCCTTTTCCTATGTCCTAATCCCACCACTTGCTGTTTTCCCTGGGTAAGAGCTTTTCATCTACTGAAGGCTGTAATTAAGTGGACTCCAATTTTCTCCTCTGTAAACAAAGTAACTTCAGAGACTGAAGTGTGATGCTGCCGAACAACGAAGGCTGAAGATTAGGAGACACAAAGTCTGGATCCGGATCCTGGTCCTTGTCCGGGTAGCACTCTGCCTTCAGCCTGCGTTAATCCGGCGCCCAGGAATCAGAAGGGAAGCCCCATCCCAGCTCTCCTGTAACTCCCTGTCTAGTCAGGGACATGATGAAGAGCGCACTCTCCTATGTTTTGCAGCTGGAGTTAGAAAAGCACTTAAACTCATGATATTAAGAAAATGCCAAGGAGGCCTTCTTCCACCTTACTGGAAAAAAAAATTCTTTTTTAACCTACTGTATGGTGCTCGAAGGACTCAAAGGCCAAAGCTCCTAGAAAAGTGAAAAGGGCAATTCAAATTAGGCAAAGATTAAAGGGACTTTAATGGTGACTCTGCACTTCTAAAAGATGTGCTTTATTCAACTGTGCTGTAGGGAGAGCGGAGGGCTAGAAGGTTGCTCCTGCAGGAGCAGGTTGCTCCAGCTAGAAGGTTGCTCCAGCTCCAGGGGGGAAAAAAAAATGCTTCACCCACAGCAGAGGGGAATCTCGAGAAAATTCCAAGGAAAAACTACGCAAAGTGACATTTTGGCTCAGCACCCTCTCTTCCCCCGAATCAGCAACCGCGGCCACTCGCGTCTTCCCCTGGGTCACTGTCCGAGCACGGCGACCCCTGAAAGGCCAGGCAAGGTCCCGACCGGCGGACCCAGTAGCGGGCGCCCCCTGGCGGCCATCAGCGGACACTGCCCGCCCGGAATGCGAGGGCGGGGCGGGCGAAGGAGGGAAAGAGGTGAGCGGGGGGTGTGGTCTTCTCGCGGGAACTGATGGCGTCATCGCAGCGACGGTCCCGGAAGGAAGTAGCGTGCCGAGGGGTGTGGCGGTTTCTGCTGTTGCACGGGGGTTCGGACGAGTACGGAGCGCCTGGAGGGACAGCCTGGTACGCGGCCCCCGCCCCTTACCGCGTTCACTGGGCCTCGTTGGGCCTTGCTGCAGCTCGGGGTTGGAGCTGAATAGCCTCTCCCTCAGCCCGGCCACTCCGGGGACGAGAAAGCAACCTGTTTCTGTCCCGTTCCTTCCCCGCGAGTCTTGAGCCCTCTACCTAGGGCACTTGGGACGCGAGACCCTCTCTCAGAAGAGGACAGGGAAGGGGCGCCAAGTGGGGTGCAAGTAACCTGGGGAGTAAAGGGAATTTGCAGAAGTGACGCCACTGCAGATCGGTAGCTGGATGCCACCACTGTAGAATGAGCGCCTCGCCGGTGTCTGCGCCCGGATTATATTAGATCCACGCCTTGCGCTGGTGGACCCAGGCACCCCTGACTGTGACCTTTGTGGTCAGTTACCGTAGCTTTTACAGATCATTAAGTTTTAAGGAAATAAGTCTCTAGATGCTAAGTCTTCTTCCACATGGTGCCTGGACGCATTTGGACCAGGAGCTCAGAGTCTTCCAGCTGGGGGAACCTCCTCTCTCCTCTAACCGTTTGGGGTGGGGCACTGAGAGGTGCCAAGTGCCAGTCGAGTATTTGGGAAGGAATGTGGCTTCAGTCTTGTCCAAAGCCTCTGCAGAGCCTAGGAAATAACTGGGAAGGTGGAGGAAAGGCCTGAGAATCCCACTCTCATGGACCCTCTGACCCATGGTACTTAAAGTCCCACACTTTACTCTGCTGGCATGCTGTCTTGGTGGCTCTAGCATCTGAAAGGAGTAAATAATGGTTTTCTTTGAAATGACAGGCAATTAGAACTGGAAGGCTCTGACCAGAATTACATAGCCACAACTGCCTGTCATTTAACATCCTCTGTAATTTGGGCCAACATTCTGCAGCTGCCTCTCTTCCCTTTTAGTAGTATGAGTGGCTCCAGTGACAGCACATTCGTGTTCACAGGAAAAGAAAGCTGTGTTCTGAAGCATGCCCAGTTGGCACTGATTCTCCATTGGGCCACGGCTGCATCTGGAGCCACTGCCTCTTCAACAGGGTGGGAAATAGAGTTCCACAGTTAAGGAATGGGCATGTTGACATAGAACAAGATGAAGAGCACTATAGATCTAGCCTTGTGTTCATACAACAGACTAGTTATGAGCTATGTTCAGGGAGCTCACCGTGGTGAGATACTGTCGTAGTTTTCTCCTGCATGTCAGACCACACACACATTTTCCCATATCTTTTTCCCTAGGATAAAGGTTCCCTGATGGCTCAGTTGGGAGCAGTTGTGGCTGTGGCTGCCAGTTTTTTTTGTGCCTCCCTCTTCTCATCTGTGCACAAGATAGAAGAGGGACATATTGGGGTATATTACAGGTAAGGCAGAGACAGGGAGACGCCTGAAGCTCCAGTTAAATGACTCTCTTTCCTAGTCATTGTCTAATATTCTGCTGAATATCTGTATTTATATTTTGTTGAATAGGGGAATCTTTTATTTTTTAAATGTTGCTCTGATTTTTTTTTTCTTTTTAAAGATTTATTTATTTATTTATTTATTTATTTATTTATTTATTTATACAAGCACTGGGTACAGTCAGAAGGTGGTGAGAGGGAGGGTGGGAGAATTCACCAAAACCAGAGCTGGGAACAGAACAGGCAGACTGACGAAATACACTGCTGAGGGGAGCAGCAGGTGGCAGGAGTGGTCTTTCCGGCCATGTGGGACCCTCACCGGTGGCCGGGGGTGGCCGGGGATCAAACCAGCGCTGCAGAGGCTGCGGGCAGCTCCACAGCCCAGCGCTTAACCGCTGCGCCACCAGGGGAGGCCCAATAGGGGAATCTTTTAGATTGAATTTTTGTTGGTGACCATGGGGAGAGAAGTATCATATGTGTATGTGTACGTTTTGTGTTTGTGTGTGTATACACATAATGTTTTTATATATACACACATACATATATAAATGTAAATATAAAAATTAGCATTCTGAGTTGATGTCATGGATGATACTAATAAATGTATATGGATTTAGAGACAAAACCTAAAGCAAACTTTAGAGATCATCCCTAAAATACTGTTTTCTCCCCCTGGGCATCTTGGCACCAATAGCCTGCTCTGTTAATTTTCTGAAATTAACTTTCAAGAAAAAATGAAAGAGCCTGCAGGTTGATTTATAACAATCAACACAAGCCCTAGGATAGTGCCTCTTAGACTAAGAAGCATTATGTCACTACTTATTTTATTTTGTAATGTATCTTCTATTTCATAATGGAAGGCAGAGAAACACGTATAAATCTTGAGTTGCTTTCTTTCCTTTTAGTAACTTAATTAAACAAGTTTTTGCTTTCAGTCTTTATGAACCCCTTGATGTGCCCTGTGATATTTATTTCTGGATTGCCAAGTTCTAAAACTCTGGTCAGGTTTCCTCCTAATTATTTCTCCTTATAATTCTCCCCATTATCTGTTCATATGTCCCAAAATAGGATTTTTATTTTATCAGTTATGTGCAGCTTGATTAGATAGATAACTACTGCCAAAAATATATATTAGAATAATTTATAAAGTATACTTAAAATTATTCTTCAGGTTGTTCATGTCAGTGGACTGTAGCATTAGTGCAGTTAATTGATAACTTACTGGATTTAACTGCCTTAATGGATTGCTGCAAGCACAATGGATATGACAAAGTAAAACAGACTTCCTATCTTAAGTACAGCTAGGGATTCTGCTCTTTATTACACTTAGTCTCTGTGCCTAATTTTCTTGCTGCAAAAGCATGAATAATATTTTTGTGTTACCTTGAGGCTCAATAGACTGTTAGGGTCAAAACAACCTGAAAGCATCTGTGGCCATGATGCTGGCATCTGTCACTCTATATCAAACATTTATGGGCTGGAAGAGAAAGTTGGACCAACAGTATTGATCTAATAGATTCCTCTTGCTGAGTTGAACCCATATCTCTCTTCCTCTACAGAGGCGGTGCCCTGCTGACTTCCACCAGTGGCCCTGGTTTCCATCTCATGCTCCCATTCATCACATCATATAAGTCTGTGCAGGTACACGTGATTTGTGTGGGATGGTTGGATGACTGCAGACTTGGGGTGTTGACTAATGCATGATCTGGAATTTTTTAGCTATTGGATGAATATAACACGTTTTCAGAGAATCATTTAAGGATAATGTATGTGTGTGTGTCTACATATAAAAGTAGAGATGTAGATATATACACACATACACAGAGAGAATGAGGCTCCATGGCCACTTATTCTGGAGCTTTGCTTGATTGTTGAAATAGCTGAATCGGGTCATTGCCTTGGCCTGTCAACCCCATCTGGGAATTATTTCTTCATTTCAAGACATAGTCAGAGAAGTATCTTTTCTGAATGTATCGAAGGAATAATAGAGTGTGTGTGTCTGTGTGTTTTAAATCATAGGCTACTATGATAGATGGAAATTAAATATTGTAATTTTCCTTTTTCTTGTTTGAACGTCAAGAGATGTAGACATAATTTTTGAGAGGAAAGTTGAACTGGCGAGGGGAAATGACATTCAAAAATAGTACCAAGATTAGGTAAGACAAATCTAAAATCTGGTTGAGTTAAAGTAACCATCTTTGAAGTAGGTTCAGCTAAAAAAAAAATAGGTAATTTAACTCCCCCAGAAAAATATCTTGGGATGTTCCACCAGCATTTTTTTCCCTACAAATTTCTTCTGCCATTTATTATCCTTTATGGTTTTCAAAATGCATTCATGCACATCATCTCATTTGAATCTCACCATAATCTCGAGAATGGGCTGAGCAGTATTATACAGGCTGAGATAGCTTAAATGGATCTGCTGTTTCAAGGCTGGTAAGTGGAAGAGGTGGCGCTAACCACAGATTGTAGTACTTCTAACCCAGGGTTATTGTCTCTAAACCATTGTTACTCATCTGGTTCATATGGTGCTTTACTTACAGTGAAGCAGGAATAGGTACCTTTGGTAGTTTAGCTTCACACACTGTAAGTAAGGAGGATTCAGAGAGGAATTCATGTTTAGCACAGCTTAGCCCAAAAATGTATTCCCAGAGAGGGCCACTTAAGATTACAAAATTAAGTTATGTTTGTCATTTCCCATCTTACTACATTTTATGTTTCCTCTATTTCCAGACCACACTCCAGACCGATGAGGTGAAGAATGTGCCTTGTGGGACTAGGTAGGTTGCCCAAAATAAAACTTCAGCCCAGAAAAAGACAAAGGGCTGACTGGCTGGCTGCACTGAGAGACAGTGAAAGAGGATGCACTTCTTCTTGAATTTATCATGTCTGCTGTCCACTAGATATAGGTGATGTAGGACAGTATAGGGAGTCACAGTAGGTGGACAGGGCCTTTGGGAGGGCCTTGAATGCCACAGTAGGAAGCTTGGACTTTTTCAGTTAGAAGCCTTTTTCCACTGAATGAAAATGACATGAGAAGGGAAGATAACTTTAGCATCACATACTATGGAGAATGGCTTAAAGGTAAGGGACTCCTTAGGGACAAGAGATCTGAAGAGAGCACTGCTATAGTGATTGGGTTGAAAAGTCAAAGATTCTAAACTGGGATAGAGTAACAAAACACACAACACCATAGGAAACACTCAGACAAACTCAGAATTGGGCATCCTACAGGATACCTGACCTGACCTTGTCCCACAGTCATTGTACTTGGAGGGTTGGTTAGTTGAAAAAGAGACTTAAAAGACATCAATAAATGCAGTGGTTATCCTTGATGAGAACCTGGTTTCAAAATAACAGCTAGAAATGACATTATAGAATGACTTAAATAACAGATTTATTTTCTCACAACTCTAGAAACTCAAGGCACCAGCAGGGTTAGTTTTGGTAAATTCTCTCTTCCTGGCTTGCAGACAACCAGCATGTGACCTCGCTTGGCCTTCCCTCTATGTATGCTGGAGAAGAAAAGGGACTTCTGGTGTCTTTTCTTTTTTTCCTTGATGGGTCCATTTTAATTTTAATTACCTCATATATGACTTCATTTTAACCTTAACTACCTTCTTAAAGTCCTTGTTTCTAAATACAGTCACACTGGAAGGCAAAGTTTCAACAGATGGATTTTGGAGGCACATAATTCAGTCTATAACAGGAACTAATGGGGAAATTTGAATAAGGCCCTAGTGTTAGATGTTGTTAAGGATTTATTGCTAATTTTCCTAAATTCAGGAATGGTCTTATGACCATATTGAAGCATATTGTCTTATTCTTCCAACTTTCCTGTGTTTGAAATTTTTTCATAATGACTATTTTGGGCAAAGGAAAGTGCTGACCTAAAGTAATGGAAGACAAAGTGAGAAAGAGTAACCATAAAATTCCTTAGTGACCTTTTAAAGTTCTGAGGACTTCTTGACCTTATTTTTTTAAAAAAGATTTATTTATTTATACATACAGGAACGGTGGTATGGGCCAGAGGGGTAAGAGGATTCACCAGTGACAGAGTAGGGAGCAGAACAGGCAGATGGACCGAAAGACTCTGCTGAGGAGAGCAGCAGGCAAGTCAGGAGAGGTCTGCTGCGCCATGTGGGTAGCTCCCTGGCCGGGGATTGAACTTGTGCTACAGAGGCTGCAGACAGCTTCATAGGTTTCATCTTAACCCCTTACGCCACCAGGGAGGCCCGGACTTCTTGACCTTACTTAGTCTTGTCCCTGCAGTTGATTGCTTTAATCCAAAGGCATTGCCACTTCAAATGACATGATGTAATCTTCTTACTAGTACCCCAAAAGTCTATTTTCTTTGTGGAGCAATTTTTAGATGTGATTTTTCAGGAGATTGTGATCTTGCTATAAGCTCTGAAGATCTCCTACTTGAGATCCGAGATGCCTTCTAACCTCCCCTTGCACTCTTGTACTCTTTTTCTGCCAAGTCACACATCTTATGCCACCACAGGAGACCACACTATTTCTGAGCTTACTAGTGACTTCTCTGTCCATTCTTTCTCCAATAGTGGTGGTGTGATGATCTACTTTGACAGAATTGAAGTGGTGAACTTCCTGGTCCCAAATGCAGGTATGATTTTGTAGTTTGCCCTCACATAAGCTTACCGGCTTGCTATTGGGCATCTTGTCTCTGCACCTCAGGGAGAGCTACTGTGTCCAAGAAAGGTTTGAGTCCCTCCTTTTCTCATTCTGACTTTCCCCATCCTTCCCAGTGTATGATATCGTGAAGAATTACACTGCTGACTACGATAAAGCCCTCATCTTCAACAAGATCCACCATGAGCTGAACCAGTTCTGCAGTGTACATACACTTCAAGAGGTCTACATTGAGCTGTTCGGTAAGGAAGTCTCTGACCACAACATGACTTAACAGCCTGTCCCCACCCCACCCCCTGCCTAGTTCTGAGCTACCTACCAGGTAGGATGGGTACTGATGGACAGGAAATTTTAAAGAACCCAAGGCTGAGAAATTGATCACAAAGAAAAGTAGAAAATGTTGATGACAATGGAAGAAGATCATCAGACCGGTTGAGCTTTGGGCACAAAAGTAATTGACATGAATCAGAGGACTGGAATGGAAGTGTTTTCCCACTGCCCCTAAAACATAATTCTGTGAAGACAAGCTTAGTTCTAGAAGAACCATAGAGATCATCTAGTCCATCATCCTCATTTTAAGAGAAGGGTGCTGAGGCCCAAAGAGAGAAAGTCACAGAGTTGATTGGAAGCAAAGCTGAAGCTAGAACGTCCTTGCCTGGCTCTCATTTCACTATATTCCCCACCCTGAGGAGCACCCAGGAATGGGTGATCACAATGGTGTGGTTCTCACATTTACTTTTAGAAGTGGGACATGGACCATAGCTACTTACAGCTTCTAGACTTTTATGAAATTTATTTATTACCCTACACCTGTGGAGATGAATTGGAATACACTTAAAAAAAATCCTCATACTGGGCCTCCCCGGTGGTGCAGCAGTTGAGCACTGGGTTGCGAAGCTGCCTGCAGCCTCTGCAGCACCATTTTGATCCCCCAGCCTCCGGGTGAGGGTCCCACATGGCGTGCAGACCCCTCCTGCCGCCCGCTGCTCCCCTCAGCAGTGTACTCGGTCCTTCTGCCTGTTCCGCTCCCTGCTCTGGCTCTGGTGAATTCTTTCACCCTCCCACACTTCTGACTGTACCCAGTGCTTGTATAAATAAAATAAATAAATCTTTAAAAAAAAAAATCCTCATAGTGAAGTAGACACTTTTTATTCTTTTCACTTGGTCAAAGTAAACATAGCTGACAGCAAAGGAAAAAAAAATTTATTGTTATAGCTCCTTTATGGCAAAATGTTCTGTTCAAATTTGCTGCTAGAAGTTTTCTAGTAGCCAATGCTAAAAGTAAATGAAAATCTCAACCAATAGTACAACTATTTTGATACTAGGACAGATGGTGACTTTTCCCAACAATCTTCATTAAAAGGACCCTAAGTTGAGAAAATTTTTTTAGAGCAGACAGAAGAAGGAATCAGTGATGTTGACAGTGATCTTAATTAAGCAAACAGCCTGTCACACTGTGTATAAAATTTGGGAAATCACCAGAATCACTTTAAAGTTTTCTGCCATAGAAAATTCATTTGATGGAGTTTAAATTCAATGTGATTTTAAGAAAAATTTGGTAAATTTGCTACTATGTTTTTACCTGAAACTCACAGAATTTTTCAGATATCAATTTTCTCTCCAGCCATTGTTTTTTTTTTTTTTTTATATATAGAGGCATGCTTTATTTATTTGTTTGCTGGTTTCTTTGTTTGTTTTGTTTATACATGCACTGGGTACAGTCAGAAGCGCGGGAGGGCGAGAGAATTCACGAGAGCCAGAGCGGGGAGCTGAGCAGGCAGAAGGACCGAAGTACACTGCTGAGGGGAGCAGCGGGCGGCAGGAGAGGTCTGCGCGCCATGTGGGACCCTCCTCCAGTGGCCGGGGAGCAGCCGGGGATCGAACCGGCGCCGCAGAGGCCGCGCGCAGCTTCGCAACCCAGCGCTCAACCGCTGCGCCACCGGGGAGGCCCTCCAGCCATTGTTCCAGGGCTTATGCCATTTAATGAACATTTGAAAGCATTCATTTATTTATTTATTTATTTATTTATTTATTTATTTATTTATTTATTTATACAAGCACTGGGTACAGTCAGAAGTACGGGAGGGTGAGAGAATTCACCAGAGCCAGAGCGGGGAGCAGAGCAGGCAGAAGGACCGAAGTACACTGCTGAGGGGAGCAGCGGGCGGCAGGAGAGGTCTGTGGGCCATGTGGGACCCTCCTCCGGTGGCCAGGGAGCAGCCAGGGATTGAACCGGTGCTGCAGAGGCTGCGGGCAGCTTCGCAACCCAGCGCTCAAACATTTGAAAGCATTTAAAACAAAAGATAAAGGAACTCTAATTCCCATGATTAAAAAAATTAAAATATAAAATTTTTTTGCATTAGAAAATTTGTTACTGTCATAGAGATAAACTTGGTGACTTAGTAGATTATAGTTTCTTATACAGAGGAGCTAGGAAAATGTATTTGCTTTGGAACTTTTTTCCTTGTTACATTGCAATCTTGCTGGCAGGCTCTGTTCTGCTTAGAATCTGTTTGCATCCATAAAGGAAAAACTCCTGTCTCTAATCCTATTCCTTGAACAGGAAGTTTCTTCCCTCGCTCCTTCCTCTGAGGGTAATATGGCTCTCGATATCTCTGATGCATCCTTTTTTGCTCATTTTGTAAAAATATTATCAAATGCTTGTTCAGAAGTATAACTGAAAAACCTCACTGTGTTTACTTAGCAATATAACTCAATCAGCATTTATCAGCATTACCATAATATAAACAACTTGTTGCCAGTGTTACTGAACTGCCTTGTAAAATATTTCTTCCAGATGTTCCCAGTTACTAGCCTGGGGCCACAGATGTCCACCTTTACTCAGATGTAATTGGGTCTGATAAATAATTATGTCATTATTAACTTACAAGGGTAATAGGTCATCTCAGTTAACGTTTGGTTGGTATCCTATTTACATTGGTTATATGAAATGAATGTTTATCTCTTGCTGTCAAATTGTTAGATTCATATAATGTGGGAGGTACTGCCTTTATGGATATTTTTCCCTCAGTGCTAAGAAACTTGTGAAAGCATATCCAATATGTAAAAACATTAAAATTCCTCTCATATTGAACAGTTAAAGTGCTGTTTTAAAAGCCTAACAATCAGAGCATAGTAATGAAACTCGAGCTAGCTAACTAGCTCGAGACTATCACTGAACTTCTGTGGATTGGGCATCTATTAAAGGGCTTAGACTTAATGTTCCTAATGGGTGACTGAGAAAGACCACTGAAAGTAAATGGCAGGATCCTCCCTGGTAGCCTAAGGGCTAAGTCTCGGCACTACCACCTTAATGGCCAACCCTCCTGGCCAGGGCACAGCAGACCCTCCTGTTTCTCCCACTGCTGCCTTTAGCAGCGTATTTCAGTATATCTGCCTGTTCTGCTCCCCACTTCATATCTGGTGAATACTCTCACCATCACCCCACCTCTGGCATATACCCCAGTTCTTCTATGCAAAAACAAATAAAATCTTTTAAAACTAAGTGGCGGCTAACAGTAAGGGAGGTGATTTCCATTGAGATGTCCTAGCAGGTTTCATGGAGTCTTTTCCCAGGCCCCTTGGAGGATCTTATTGAGGATCTCGTGGGCCAGGGGTTAGGGAAGAGGGCTATGAAACCCTGAGGAAGCTGAGTCAGAGAAGGCAGCCTCGGTGCTGCTTGCTGCTGTTGTGTGATCACAGCTAAAGTGTGGGGTGGGGGAGGAGAAGGAACAGAGTCAGTTCTAGTTCTTCATATGTCAGCGCAACCACTCATATGTGAATTCCACACAAAGGAATCAGGACCACAGCAAGTAACACATCAAAAAACTTGTGCTCATATCCAGCACCATAAATTTTCATTTTTCCCTTGTGTTATTTGGTGAAGTTCCTAATGGAAATAGTCTCCTTGGGGCTTTCCTTGACGTCAGAGTCTGTTTCTCTTTTAGAAACTTCTAAAATTACTAGATGATGTGCTCAGCTCTGCAAAATAACTAGCCTAGCCATTCCACTGTCCTTCATGAAAACTAGGAGCCTGTCTTCTCTTTTGCTGCTGTTGTCAGGGAATGGCCCCACTGACTCAAGTAATATGCTAGAATTGTTCCTTTAATTTTTTAAAGCTCATTTCCCTTTGGGGCAGGGTTGATGTTTTCAGTAATCTAGGTGATTTTATCTCAGGCCACAGCACAGGGATGGTCTCACATCTGCCTGATAGGGCTGCATCAGGTGCCACTCCCAAATCTTGTAGGAAATCTGTAGATCTCTGGGCTCTGAGCAGCACACTGCCTCTGAAGACCTTTTGCCTGTCAGATGTACTCTTGAGCTGCTGTTTTAGCTTGTTCTATACCCCTTATATTTCCCTCCACTCTACCTAAAAAGTATAACACCTTCTTTTTCTTTCATGATTCTAGATCAGATTGATGAGAATCTCAAACTGGCTTTGCAACAGGACCTGACCTCCATGGCCCCAGGGCTTGTAATCCAAGTAAGCATTTCCACAATGTGCCCCCTCCATGAAGGTGCACCTCCTCTTTGGAGGAATGTTGTCTTATTCAGGAAGATCAAGGAACAGTGCAGCTGGGAGCTGCCTATGTCCCTCACCAGTCTCACTTTCCCATCATGTGCTATTTTTTCCTTCTCCAGGCTGTGCGGGTGACAAAGCCCAATATACCTGAGGCGATCCGCAGAAACTATGAGCTGATGTGAGTATCCCCTCTGCCTCACCATTTCTCTCTCACACCTCATCCCATCCCATAGCTAACCGAAGCAGTGCCAGGATTTTATCCTCCTTTGGAGTATTTGTTACAGCCCATTGCATTGTAAGATGGAGCAGGCGTGTTGGGACAGTCACCTGGGCTCCATAACTGTGATTGAGAGCCAAAGATGAAGCCCTTTCGAGCAGTGATGCTTTTAAAAGGGCCAGGGGCCTTGTTTGTGTCTCATGGCTCATGCCAAAGAAGATAAGAAGAAAAGACGATTAAGTGGGCAGGCAGGTGCATTTTGCTAAAGTAAATTATGCTTTATTTCCCACAAATGAGTTATTTGGGAGGGAAGGAGAGCCATGTTACTTTTCACAACAGATCAGCTTTTCCCTGGGACATTGAACAACCTTCCAGGAGGGAGTAAGAAATCACAGTTTGCCTGTCCTCAGCAGGAGTGTTTGGTTCCTCCAGGGGACAGAGAAGTTTCTCAAGAGCTTTTCCACAACAGCCTCACATTTGCATGCTTTTTTCCCTTCAGGGAAAGCGAAAAGACAAAACTTCTCATTGCAGCCCAGAAACAGAAGGTGGTGGAGAAGGAGGCTGAGACAGAACGGAAGAAGGCCCTCATTGGTCTGAACATGGTTCTGGGATCCCCTTTCAGGGCAGAAGGGCAGGGGTCAGTGGGAAGACTCAAGGAAACCTCAGGAAGCTTAGACCATGGTCATGGTCCTCTAAATCTTTGCCACACACAGGCCAAAATGGTCAGATCAGGGCGAGGGGATCATGAATTTTAAGTTTCCACGTCTCTCGTAGATTAAAGGGATTCTTCCTATAAATTCTGAATTCACAATGATAATGGCTAACACTGTGAGCCACTTTCTAAATACTTATATATGAATTATTTCACTTTTTACAACCACCAGATGGTATAGACAAAACCACTAACCTCATTTTACTGAACTGAAGCACAGAGCTTAAGTAATGTGCCCAGTGCCATGGCAAGTAAGTGGGGGAATTGGGGTTCAAATCCAGGGACTCTGTTCCAGAACCAGGGTGGTTAATCACTACACTAGACTATCATTAACAAACCTGACTGCTTCCTAAAGTGGCCCCCAAGTAAGCTTTTTAGAGATTACCTTGCTCCTTAAAATACTGCTGTGGGAGAAATACCCTCATGACTTAGGGGAGAGGTTGGAATTTGTTCGTTGCTTTCATCAGAGAAACAACTCTCCTCACTTGGGCCCTCACTGATGGCACAGTTCTGTGCTCACTGGTACCTTCCAGCTCTGCCTGTCATGGCTGCCCTCTTCAGTCTGTGGCTCTCCATCAGCGCTTACCACTCCTGCCTCAGGGAGTCAGATCAAGTGAAAGGTGAAATTTAGTTGAGCTTGCAAACTAAGCAGAGCTCTAAACCTTTTCTCAACTTCATTAATATAGAGGCAGAAAAAGTGGCTCAGGTTGCAGAAATCACCTATGGGCAGAAGGTAATGGAGAAGGAGACTGAGAAGAAGATTTCAGAAATTGAAGGTGAGCAGAAGTGAAGATAATGCCCAAGTTTACCTCAGATCTCACTTTGTGGTAAGGAAGTGGGAGAGTCATTTCCTTGACTCTTTAATCTCTGCTCTAAGATGACAGGATTTCTGGGGGACATTGCCTTTTCTCTGAGCTTTGACTCAAGTTTTGGGGATATTTTGGCCCGGCTAGCATCAGTTTTCTCTTCAGAGAGCATTTGTTCATTCATTCAATGTTTGTAAGTGCCATATGTGCTAGGCATCTTGTGAAGCATAAGAGAAAGGGAATTTTATCCTCCCTGCTGACTTAGAACTCACAGTCTGGCCATGGAAGTAAGCTGGGAAGCCAGGCCAAAACAGCAGCTCCCTCCCTCAGACCTTACCTACTCCTCCTCAGGAGTCAGGAAACACCACAGCATTGGCCTCATAACTGCTCACAGGGTCCCTGTAGATACTAAGTGGGTATGAAATAGATACCTTCTCAGTACCAACAAGATGGGGCTGTAGAGCACTGTTTTCTTCAGTGTCTTTTAGAATATAATTCGCCTTCAGTTCCCTGCCCTCAGCCGGCACCTCATCCCCACCACCTACCTTTCCTTCATGTGGTGCCTTATGTCAGATGAATTGTAAGACAAAAATGGGACCTCATAATGGTGAACATGATATAGTATATACACATGTTGATTTTCAGCGATACACATCTGAAATTTATAATGTTATACAGTATTAAAAAACATTTTAGTATAATTGCGTTGTTTTAATTGGGGAAATATAAATTTACAACATTGGCTGTTATTCAGTGGCATAGGATCACACCTCCTCAGATGCATATCCTCACACTACACTCATTATCAAGAAAAAAATTTTTTAAAGATTTATTTTATTTATGCATCCAAGAACTGGGGTATAGGCCAGAGGTGTGGGGGGTGGTAGAGGATTCACCAGAGACAGAGTGGGGAGCAAAACAGATGGATCTACTGAAATGCACTGCTGAGGGGAGCAGCGGACCAGACAGGAGAGGTCTAATGCCCCATTTGGGTCAGCTCCCTGGCCAGGGATCGAACTTGTGCTGCAGTGGCTGCCCATAGCTTCATTGTGCTGAGACTTAGCCCCTTGAGCCACCAGGGAGGCCCAAGGAGAAAAAAAAATTTTAATGGAACCTCAGGGTTCAGCTTCAGAATATAAAGTGCTCTGTCCAGTTACTATGGAGCCAGTCAAGCTTTACAGGGACCCATTGAGTTAAAATTTTAAAACCTAATTAGGATTTGACAGATCAGTGGCGCCTCGTTAGGGAGCCCTTAGGAAAACATTTTTATTTCTTATAAATACTTGTCATCAGGCACTAAGGCTAGCTGAGTCGGCCACATGGCAGCCAGAACCCCAGCCAGACTGCAGACTCCCCATACCCAGGGTCTTACTGAGGGTCTGCAGTAAGAGCCCACCCACAGACTGACCTTTCTTTCCAGGCTTTTCGCTACAAATAGTACTCATATGAGGCTGGCCTCATTTTCCAGACAAGGGAGTAAATATCACAAATTTTGCTTCAGTTAGAAAGCTAGTTTCAGCAGATTAAGGAAGCCTATTGTTTGCATAATAGAAGTTTAAATAGGTCTTAATCCAAACAGGTGTTAGTCTGGACCAGGCGTGTAATTCTTCTAGAGTTGTGTCAGCCTAACAACTGCTAATTAGAACCTTTAGACTTCATGTTTATGTTTTATGTTTACGGTATTTGGTTTTAAGGTTGATCTGCCTTTGGCCATATTTAGAGCCTTCTTGGGCTTATCTTGTTTTGCTGTGTAGCACAAGAGGGCTGAGGTTGAGAGCTCAGAAAGTGGGGTTTGAGGCAGGGTCACACCCCTCTTCCTATACGTGGGACCATAGCAGAGAGTATTGGGACAAGAGTGTCTCTGGACAGCAGCGCTTTTCTCAAGGGTGCCATCACAGAAGAGGTTGTCAGGCACAACAATACTTGCCGATAACTAGTTCCAGACACAGGGAGATGCTTGAAAAGCACTTTTTCATCTTGCTTGATTTTCCTTTGTGAAATGGGAGCAGGGTGCCTTTTCCCCGTTTTGCAAATGAGGAAACTAAAGCACAAAGTAAAAAGAGTGACCTCTCCAAGGTCACAAAGATAGAAAATCAGGTGGAAATGAAGCTCAGGAGAAAGCCACAGGGAGCAGACACAGTCATCTGCTAGCCTCTGCACTTCTGCACACATTGGTTTTCACTCTGTTTGCTCTCTTTCCCCAGACGCCGCGTTTCTGGCCCGGGAGAAGGCAAAGGCTGACGCCGAGTGCTATACTGCTATGAAAATCGCAGAAGCAAATAAGGTAAAGCCTTAGTAACTAGTGGAGAGAAGGTGGAAGGTCTCTCATCTGGCTCCATCTGAGTTGTCTTTACTTTTCTTCTTGCAGCTGAAGCTGACCCCAGAATACCTGCAGCTGATGAAGTACAAGGCCATTGCTTCCAACAGCAAGATTTACTTTGGCAAAGACATCCCTAACATGTTCATGGACTCTGCAGGCAGTCTGGGCAAGCAGTTTGAGGGGCTGTCTGACAAGCTGAGTTTTGGCTTAGAAGATGAGCCCTTAGTGGCAGACACTGAGGAGAATTGAAAAGAAATTTTATACAACCACAGAAGACACTTAAAGAGATTTTCTTTTTTAATGATGAGCCAGGATGCCCCTCCCTTCCACAGTACCTTGTTTGACTCTCTTCCACATAACTGTGGTGAAAAAAGAAGAAATGGACTTAGCTCTATTCCCCTGCCTGGGAAGGGAGGGCAGGGTTTGATGATTTGGGATTTTTTTCAGGTAAGTAGGTTTTATGACTTCTTTTGTGATTTGTAAACCACAGTTTTGACCTTTGACCTCCAAACACTCACTTTAGCCCTTTGAAACTGGCTTAATTAGGGATGTTGTCCTTAAGGAGTGGGAGAAATATAGGGTGTTGTTTTAGGTGATTTGATTTCCCTAATTTGGGAAAATGTGGTCCAGTTTTCTCCCCCTTGCCTCCAAGGTGGGAGATGCCTGTGAGTCTCAGCAACTGAGCAAATATGTGCTCGAAAGTTTACCAATAGAGCTGTGGAGAAACAGCTGTTTGGCTTTCCTGGCGTTTTTGTCAGTGTATATGTGAGTTATTTTAGGGCATACTTGAGCCCTTATAGGAAGAACTGGTGCTAGGTTTTGCCAGCTTTTCTATATGATAGCCTCCTTGCCTTGGGCCTACAGAGTGGTGGTTTCTGACTACATTACTGGAGTCAGGGTTCAGTCACCACTGCATAATTCTTTTCAAAACTTTTCACCTATTCTACAGTTTTTTCCTCTCAATTTGTTCATTGGTTCCACTCAGCATCGAGAAGACAGGAACAAACAACTAAAGTGTCTTAAAGCTGCTGAAGTGGGATGATTGTATCTGCTAAACACTGGTAGCTGCTTGGCAAACTATATTCCCTGAGATCAGTGTCTTTATTGTTATGGAGATTCTACATTGAAGAGCTCCTCTGGAGGAGGAAGAAGGGTCACCCATCAGATTCCCACATCTTAATGTCAGGCATAAGCTGGGAGTTTGTCTGACTTAGTGGTAAAAGGGAGGCTATTCCCTAAGTAGAACACATTACTAAATCCAGGGACCCTGCTGACTACACAGGGTCAAGACTGTTAAGTCTCTAAAGGGAGGGAGGCTGTGCAGGTCAGAATGCACACCTGCCAGGGTCCCTGTATCAAAATCCATTCAAATGTTTTCTTTTTCATACTGATTAGGAAAATGTTGGCAGATTTGGGGTGGGTCAGAGCATACATGAAAGAAAGGTTTTCCTATTTCTGAAAATGGAGTTGGGGGCAGGGGAACCAGCTGTATGGCTCATGAGTGTGTACCAAATTGTTAACTGGAGGGCAGCTATCTGACTTCACCTGCAAGCATTTGGTATCCTGTGCAGCAATTTCTGACTTAAGATTTGACCTTCTTATTAGCTTTCCTCACCCTTCCCCCCCTCCAGCTCTCAATGTATCCTTCTTCCCTCGATGAAATCGATGAAATTATGAATGATACTTTCTGGCAAAGATCCCCATCTCATTTTTGGTCCCATGCCAGACTTCTGGTTTATCGAATGGCCCCAGATGTGGGGCCAGCTTGCTCCTAAGTAGTGCCAGGCTTGTTGGGAGTTGGGGAAACATTCAGCTTGCCTAGGAAGAAACAAAGTATTAATGCTTAATTCAGACTTTGCCATTCTCTGTCTTAATTCCTGAGATCTAGACTTCTCAAACCACTGATCCTCGTCACACTTTGTCTGGGTAGCCAAATGTCCCTGGAATGATGGCTCCTAATGTACTCAGAAGGCCTTGCAGAAGGCAATCGGTCTCCCAAGAACAGCGCGTGGCATCCAGTGCTAGGGTGCACTCACCCGCTCCCATTTCAGAGCCATTAGTCACTTGTTAGTAGCTACATGAGTTGTCCCGCTTCCCTGATTTACATATTTGTCGTGCCCTCTATTCTCAGACTTGCCTAGGATTCAGAAAGCACTACTCGATAATAGAACAAGGAGAGAAGATATCACAGCTCTGAATGGCATGATTGTTTGGGTTCTTAACTTAAAAATCTCTCTAATACTACATCCTGTGATGGCTTGTCCCTAGCCTTAGATACCACAAAAGAGCCCTGGCAGGGTGATGTCCTTGTGCACCTGCCCCTTTGATGTTAGTACCACTTCCTCTTTAAAACAAAAGTATCAGTATCATAGTACCCATTAGTTCAAATCCCATGGATGTCTGTACCTGCCTGAATAGGGAAATCATAGAATTCAGCTGTTTCCTTAGCAAGGGACAACGAACTTATCTTTGTGACTTTGTTTAACGCTTACCAGAAAATCTGATCTTAAAACATTTGAATTCTAAACATGTCAAATGTGACAGCTGCAATTTTGTAGGCAGTAAGTCGTGGCTGCTATTTATAAATGGAACTTCTATCAAAATAAGTAACTTTATAAAATTCAGTTTTTATAGGGTTTTCCAAGGAAAAGTCACCTTGGTTGAATATTTCTCACTCATTAAACTTTCCAGAAGTGATTCATAATAAGTACTGTTTTTAATCACTTTTTAAATAAAGGATAGACTGTTTGCAAGGAAGCCAAAGTATGTTAATAATTTTTATATGACTAAAGTAAAATAAATTTAAAGGGATCTATGATCAGATTAAGTGGAGGGAGGAAAAGAAATCACAAATAATTTTAGTAATATATTGATCAACAAGAGTAGATATTTTTAAATTATCTGTTTCATTGTCTATCTGTTGCAATGTCTTTCAACACTGATAACTTTACCATTTATAGAGAGTATGTAGTGAAAGTAAGCTCATTATATTTACTGACCTCTCGAAGTTTCGTTGAGACTTGAGGCTGCCCTATGTCTATGAACTTAGTCACTACTTCTTTAGTTCTAGTCATTAGATTTTCAACACTGTTTTCTGTTGTTTACTCCTAAAAGAGATCTTAGTCAATCATTTAGCGTTTGTATTTCTGTTCCCTTTTGTTTCTGCTTTTCTGTAAGCTGGTGATTAAACAGTCACACTAATTCTGCTTTCAAAGAGCCCCCAAGGTCTTTATATGATCCCTTTGTAACTGAGAAATGATTCTTGTTATATTAATAATTACAAGTGATATGCCAGATTAATTGCCTGGGGTTTATAACTGTAGGAATTGTTTTTGGACAACTCATAAGAAAGTATGTCTTAGTTTTATTTTCAGTCTTGCTAAATAAAATGAGTCTTTGTATTTACCTTTTTATTAAAGTAAAATTTAGCAGTCACTAAAAATATATGATATAAAGAAATGAAACATCCCAGCCTAGTGACTTGACAGTGTCACCCTAAAAATATATTCAGATGAATTTCTAACCCCATTATCAGTGTAGAAACAATAAACAACTAATTTGTGAGCATCACATAATTCTTGGTAGGTGCTGTAGACATAATTTAGCATGATGATGAATCCAAGCCCTCTGTAATTCTGCTCCAAAGGGCAGTGGTACTTTCAGCTGACCCCAAATTCATTTTTTTAAATATTTATTTTTAGGGCCTCCCCGGTGGCGCAGCAGGTTGAGCACCACACTGTGAGGCTGTCTACAGCCTCTGCAGCGCTGGTTCAATTCCTGGCCGGCCAGGGAGATTCCCACATGGAACAACAGACCTCTCCTGCCTCTCCCGCTGCTCCCCTCAGCAGTGTCTTGGGCCCATCTGTCTGTTCTGCTCCGCGCTCTGTCTCTGGTGAATTCTCTCACCCTCCCGCGCCTCTGACCTGTACCCCAGTTCTTGTATAAAGAAATTTTGAAAATCTTTTTAAAAAAAATATTTATTTTTATTTATTTATGCACACAAGAACTGGGATGTAGACCAGAGGTGCCAGGGGTAAGAGGATTCACCAGAGACAGAGTGGGGAGCAGAACAGATGGATCTACTGAATACACTGCTGAGGGGAGCAGCCGATAAGACAGGAGAGGTCTGCTGCGCCATATGTGGGTTAGTTTCCTGGCTGGGAATTGAACTCAGGCCATCATGGTGATAGCACTGAGACTTAACCCCTGTACCACCAGGGAGGCCCCCAAATTCATTCTTATATCAATTTCATGAAAAAGTCCCAGCCTCTGCTCTGAAAAGCAGCCCAGTCAAGTAAAATACAGAATGCCCAGTTAAATTTCAATTTCATATAAGCAGTAACTTCTAGCGTTAATGTGTCCCAAATATTGCATGAGACATACTTAGAAACCAATTGCTATGTATATGATTTCCAATTCAACTGGGTATATATACTGTATTTTATTTGCTAAATCTGGCAACCCTAGCGCAGGCTTTCCCAGGTTTGTAATGGTGCTCCCAAACTCTCTTTTGGTTTAAGAGCTTACTACCCAAATAAAATGACCTTACAATTGAATAGGTAAGTTTAGAATTTAGTTACTGAAGTTAGACTACCAAGATTCAAATCCCTGTTCCCACTTCTTAGGTGCATGTTATTGAATAAACTCTTTAACCACTCAAAGCCTCAATTTCTTCCTCTATAAAATGGGATTGAGTGGATTGTGACATAACACAACAGGGTTAGCACTGTGTCAGCATGTGTAAATGTTCAGAAATAACTATTTCCATTTATCTAGAGAGAAGCACTAGAAAGAACACAACTATTAAGTGGGTATCGTTAAGTCGAAAGACAAACAAATGTGATAATAGAGTAAGATATAAGTAGAATAGCACTGTAGAAAGAAAGGAACTGCATTGCAACACACCAGACACATTACTGAGAAAACACTTCTTCAGAAATGTGTGTAGAAAACAAGCTGGTTTGGCTCTCTTGAGAGAAGTTGCCAAATGCTGGGCTACAATTCAAAAGACTTGAGGAGGCTAGAAAGGAAACAAAATACTAAAACAAAAGAAAGACAGCTCATGGCTTGAGGGAGAAAAGGCAGGAAGAAAATTTAACAACTTCTCAGTTACAAGCTACTTAATGTTTGGCTAGGTATTCTCTGGTTCCTCAGAGACCAAAGAAGAGCACATTGCCTGCAAGACATTTTAAAAGATTTTACTTAAGACTGGCTAAAATTTGAAATGAGAAGTAATTATCTGCAAATAGAAAATACAGGGAGTAGCATGAATGACATTTTCATTTTTGATGGTCTTCAGAAATTGGGGGAATTCAGTGCTGCTGGAGATGACGTAGAGAATGTCATTCTATGTGAATGATCAAATAATCTCGATGTATGGCTGGACCAATGGACAGGGACACACACACACACCCCCCCCAGATCTAGGGTTCTAGAATCTACATTGACATCTCAAAAGCCAGCTGTGATGGCATGTTTGCTAAGTGGCTGCTATCATGGCCCTCTGCCCAGGTTAAACTGAGACGTGGGCATTATTTCTCTACTTCAAAGTCAAGTAAGTAGGCAACAGTAATTTTGTATTTTTTTCTGTTCCCTCCAAAGAATCACAGTGAGTTTACTAGAAAGAATTTTAAAACCCATCGATGTTTTTATCATAATTCAGGGCATGAAACTACAGAGGTGAATGTTTTATTTTTTTTTAAAGATTTATTTATTTATACAAGCACTGGGTACAGTCAGTAACACAGGAGTGTGAGAGGATTCACCAGAGACAGAGCGGGGAACACAACAGGTAGACCGACAAAACACACTGCTGAGGGGAGCAGTGGGCACAGCAGGAGAGGTCTGTCGCGCCATGTGGGACCTTCACCAGTGGCCGGGGATCAAACTGGTGCTGCAGAGGCTGTGGCAGTTTTGCAGCCCAGCGCTCAACCGTTGCACCATCAGGGAAGGCCTGGAGGTGAATGTTTTAAAAGCTTGATGGCAGTTACTGGTAACCAAGTATGTAGGTTTAGATTGTTTTTAAAATCTGTTCTTCTGGGTATTTGATTTTTTTAATCCTTCTCTTTTTCCCCCTTTGTGCTTGCAACTATTTGAGCAACTTAAAAGATAATTACTGGTGAAGAAGTGATTTTGGACTTGCATTTTTCAAGACAAGGTAGTAGGGAAGGATGAAAGGTTAAATTGGACAGTTGAAGTCCCAGGAAGTGGAAGAAACTAAAAGAGAAAAAAAGTGGAGGGAAATTAACTCAAAAGCACAGGAAGAAATTGGAAAATGTGGAATGGTAACGTGAAGGGTCAGCATGTTGTTTTTGTGTTCACATTCGTTCTCATAAGGCTGTGGAATAGTAGAAATGAGATACGTCTAGAAATGAATCCCCGACAAAGCCTATCTTTCTCATCTTGCTCTCCCCCAGTGTACCTTTGCAGAAAAGCTCCTCAATAAATGTGGACTGAAGGATAAAGCATTGGGCAAGGGGCACTCACATTCACTGAAAATTTGCACTTGCTTTGGGGGAGGCACTCTGCTAAGCGTATTACATATGTTATCTTAATTGATTCTTACTGCAACTCTGAAGGAGATACTCTTTTATACATGAAAAACTGAGATGTTCATTAACATCCAAGTTTACAGTTTAGTGATATAACCAAGGCTCAGGTCATGTCAGTCCACTACCCTCATTGACTTAAAAATGCTGATCCCTTTTCTGATGTCTTTTTGGGAACCACACACATGTACTCCGTGGCAGGGAAGGGTCACCTTTAATTCAGGGCTTATTAAATGAAGATATTTCTACTTGTTATAGTGTTCTGTAAGGGTTGGGGAAAAATTCCCTTTTTATAGGTCCTTTGGTCTTATGATTAAATTGACAGATTAAGGCATCCCTGGTGGCGCAAGGGATTAAGCACCACACTATGAAGCAATCTGCAGCCTCTGCAGCACGTGTTCAATCCCCAGCCAGGGAGATACCCACATGAAGAGACAGACCTCTCCTGTCTCGCTGGCTGCTCCCCTCAGCAGTGCATTTCAGTAGATCTGCCTGTTCTGCTCCCCACACACGCTGGCGAATCCTCTCACCCCCACCCCCAGTTTACACCCAGTTCTTGTATGCATACATAAATAAATCTTTTTAAAAAAATTAACTGAGGTAAAAAGCTAAGTCTCTCACTCTAGCAGCTTCTAAATCTAGTTCCTGGGGCCTCCCTGGTGCCCCAAGGGGTTAAGCACCGCACTAGGAAGCAATCCGCAGCCTCTGCAGCGTGAGTTCCACCCCCAGCCTGCCAGGGAGCTACCCACATGGCAAAGCAAACTCTCCTGTCTCGCCCGCTGCTCCCCTCAGCAGTGTATTTCAGTCAGCCTGCCTGTTCGGTTCCCCACTCTGCCTCTCGCGAACCCTGTCACCCCCTGCATCTCTGGCCTGTACCCCAGCTCTTGTATGCATAAATAAGTAAATCTTAAACAAAGCAAGCAATCAATCAATCTAGTTCCCGGACACAGAAATTCTTCAGTGCACAGCTCCTTGAACAAGGACGGGCAAACCAATGCGGCATTTTGAAGGTGAAGAGGCCCCAGGGAACAGATCGCGGTTTTTCGCGTCAGAAAGGTCCCGCGGCGGGGGGTGGGGGGTGTCAGCAAGACGCGGCGCGCACAGGGGCCACAGGACGAAGGTTCGCGCTTCGCGCTGAACGGCGCCCGCAAGGCCGCGGCACCCGGCGCCCCGCCAGGCTTTCCGCGGCGACCGCCCCAAGATGGCCTCCGGGGGCGGGGCCTCTCGCGACTCGCCCCGCCCGCGGGCCCCTCCCCCGCGCCTACGGGAGCCGATTGGGTGCGACAACTCGGCGATGCGCCCCGATTGGGCCACGCGGAGTCGTGACTGGGCGGGACCGGAAGGCGGCGGGGGCCGGGGGCCGCGGGGGCTGGGGCGCTGCGCGGGTCCCGGGGGATGTGGAGAGCTGGCAGCATGTCCGCCGAGCTGGGCGTCGGGTTCGCGCTGCGGGCGGTGCAGGAGCGCGTGCAGCAGGCGGTGGCGCGGCGGCCGCGGGTGAGGAAGGGGATCCCGGGGGACGGTGGGCGGCCGCTCTCGGGAGGGGGACACCTGCGTGGGAACGGGTCGTCACGATGACGCACGAGGGTCTCCCGAAGGGGCGGGACCCGGCCGCCGCCTGGGGGTTGGCGCGGACTGTAGATGCCCCCAAAGACTAGCGCAGGGTTTCCCGGGTCGGTGTCGGGTTTTCTGGAGGTTGACTTGGAGCAGAAGGTGTCCGCTGCCCTGGAGGATGGCCCGTCTCCAAGCGCCGCGGCCTGGGCCCGTCCCGCGTCGTGTGTTAAGGGTCTGTCACACCGCGGAAGCGCCAGGCCTGTGCCCAGAGCTCCAGAGAGGACGGCAGCCATCAGAGCACCCGAAGGAGGCCAGGGCTGCAGAGTTCAGGCGTATGGCAGTGCCTTCCAGCTAGTAGATGCTCAGTAAATGTCAGTTCCACGCCTAGGCGAAGGAGAGGGTGGATTGGCTGACCTTTGAAGGCCCCAGAAGTGCACTTGCGTGTTTGGGACATGAAGGCGCTGACGCCCAATCCCCAGCAGTTTATTTTTACCCCCTTATATACATTTTATGACCTCTCAGAATTTCATTAAGCCAGAGGTCAATATCTGCCCTTCTTCGTGCAGTTTTTTTTTTTTTAAAGATTTATTTACTTATGCATACAAGAGCTGGGGTACAGGCCAGAGTTGCAGGGAGAGGATTCACCAGAGAGAGAGTGGGGAGCAGAACAGGCAGACTGGCTGAAGTACACTGCTGAGGGGAGCAGCAGGCGAGGCAGGAGAGGTCTGCTGCACCATGTGGGTTGCTCCCTGGCTGGCTAGGGATCGAACTCGTGCTGCAGAGGCTGTGGATTGCTTCATAGTGTGGTGCTTAACCCCTTGCGCCACCAAGGAGGCCTTCTTCGTGCAGTTTTAACCTGAATGGTGTGGTGTGAGGCAGACCTGAACAGACAGGTCAGAAATCTCTGATCGAGTATGTATAGTGTCACAACACAACACTGGACATAGAAGACTTGTATTATATAATCTTTCCTAGCTTACTAATTAGATGTGACCTTGGACAAGTCACTTTGAACTACTCTGACCCTCAGTTTCCTCATCTGTACAGGTAACAGAATGAACTCTGGTAGCTATAAGCTCCCTTCTATTACTAATATTCTGTGATTTTCCAAGAAAAACAAGGGATTCTGCTAATAAACATCAGTCTGGGGGCAGCAGTCCACCCAGCACAGCTCTCAGGCAAATGGGCTTCCTGCTCCACCATTCTCTCTGGAAATCCAACCATTCATCAACACTTCTAGGAGTTACAGCCTGCTCTTGTAAAAGTCTGGTAATGACAGCACTCAGAAGAATGAAAAGTTTTTGCTAATGATCTGACTCTTTATACCCTTTTTAAAAAAACTGATTCTGTAAGATTTCCAGAGGTTGGTGAAGTACGTGAAAACTGAGCTATGTTATAAAGACAGGTGGTGAATCTTTCCTCTTTGTTGCTGTAGATTTGGTTGCAGCAGAGTAGCTTTGCACTTTGTGTAGTGGTCAGGTGATGGGGTCAGATAAGGGAATCCTGAATCCAGATTTTTTTTGTATCCAGATCTCGGATCTCAAATCTGCCACTGGTTCTTGATTAGACTAAAGTAAAATTAGTTACCCTAAGTGAGTCATTTTTGAGAGTGAATGGGGACAGTTATATTAGTAATTATACCAGTACCAGAATTAATTTCAAAAACTGTCAACTTTGGTGTTTCAGAAGCCAGGAGTAACCTCCCTACTAATCAGGGATCCTCTACCCTTAATAAAGTGATTCTTAAACCTCCAATCTTGGTATACATGTTAATCATTTGAAGAGTTTTCAAAAAGAATCTCAGACCCTCACTCCAGAGAGTCAGATTCACTAGATCTGGAGTGAGTTTGCTGATGCAGTTGGTCAAAGTTGGCACTTTAAGGAAATGCTGCCTTTACTTATCTTGCCCAGCTTTCCCAGGAGAGAAATGTCTTTTGTTAGATATTGAAGTAGCTAGCATGTATTAGATTTAGATGTCATGCATACAAGAAGCCTTTAATTGACATTATTTGAGAGTGAGCTCACTGCTGTATTGGAAAATGGATCTTAGCAAATGCCACGTTAAGATCTATGCTGATCTGTTCAACAGGTTCTTACAAGACTTACAGGAATAATATTCCCAAACATTAACGTATATGGCTCTTTCCTTCTTGTCAGGATCTCCCAGCCATCCAGCCCCGGCTAGTTGCAGTCAGTAAAACCAAGCCTGCAGACATGGTGATCGAGGCATATGGTCATGGCCAGCGTACTTTCGGGGAGAACTATGTAAGAGCTCTTTTCCAAAGTTTCCTTGGAAGAATCATGGTTACAATTCCTCTGACTTGTTCTTTTTTAACCCTTCAGGTTCAGGAACTGCTGGAAAAAGCATCAAATCCTAAAGTGAGTGGATGTCTGAATTCTTTTATATCTAACTACTGACTCAGTTGAAAATTAGATCATGTTGGTGGTTGAGTGTTAGGGCAAGCAATTGGACTGCCGGTAGAAATGTCAACATTCACCTTAATTAAGTCCCAGAAAGTTCTTAGCTAGATTTTCTTTATTAAAACTATAGTTTTCTCTTTTGTGGTTTTATGGTATGATGATTTCAGGAGCTTGGATCCTTCTGAGATTTGAAAGTTTGTTTTTTGTTTTGGTTTTTTTTTTTTTTTTTTTAAGATTTATTTATTTATTTATTCATTTATACAAGCACTGGGTACAGTCAGAAGCGCGGGAGGGTGAGAGAATTCACCAGAGCCAGAGCGGGGAGCAGAGCAGGCAAAAGGACCGAAGTACACTGCTGAGGAGAGCAGCGGGCGGCAGGAGAGGTCTGCGCACCATGCGGGACCCTCCTCCGATGGCTGGGGAGCAGCCAGGGATTGAACCGGCTCTGCAGAGGCTGCGGGCAGCTTCGCAACCCAGCGCTCAATCGCTGCGCCACCGGGGAGGCCCTGAGATTTGAAAGTTTTAGCCAGTTCATCCTTAATGGATGACATCTGAAAGATGGAAGAAGTTGATGGGATTAAGAAACAACAATAGGGCCTCCCCTGGTGGGGCAGTGGTTGAGCGCTGGGCTGCGAAGCTGCCAGCAGCCTCTGTAGCACCGGTTCAATCCCCGGACACTGGCTAGGGTCCCACATGGCGCGCAGACCTCTCCTGCTGCCCGCTGCTCCCCTCAGCAGTGTATTTTGTCGGACTGTCTGTTCTGTTCCCTGCTCTGGTGAATCCTCTCACCCTCCCGCTTCTGACTGTGCCCAGTGCTTGTATAAATAAATAAATAAATCTTAAAAATAAAAGACACCATGGCTCACTTTAAAAAAAAAAAAAAAAGAAAGAAACAACAATAGAAGTCTTAGGTCTTTCTCTAATTATCCTTAGGAGCCTGACTGGAAATGGCATAGTCATGAAAGGTCAGAGAAGGGAGTGTGTGAGGGTTTGAGCCAGCAAAGCCTCCATAAAGTCTGAGTAAAACATGGTTATCTTTTTCTCATCAGATTCTGTCTTCATGTCCTGAGATCAAGTGGCACTTCATTGGCCACCTACAGAAACAGAATGTCAGCAAATTGATGGGTAAGCTAAAACTCTAAATATGAAGACAGAGCTCCTTGTACTACCTTCTTTGGAAGAAAACAGATTTTGGAATATTCCTAATTTACCATTTGTGTTTTATAGTTTCTTTTAGCAAATATATCATAGATCATAATATAAGGGGGAAAACTTCATGCCAAGAATAGGATGAGTTCACAGTTCACTGAGTGATGTATACTTGGCAACCTGCCTGCCCGACCTCACATTATTTGGTGATCTTTAAAATAAATTTTAAAGAATTTTAGCCCGTAAAAATTTTGGATGTTGTCAAATGCTTTTACTTCATCTATTGAAATGATTATATGGTTCTTTTTCAGTTTGTTAACATGTTGAATCATATTTATTGGTTTTCAAATGTTAAATCAACCCAGCATTACTGGGATTAACTCTACTTGGTCATTAAGTATTACCTTTTAATATAATGTTACATTTGGTTTGTTAAATATTGCTTAGAATTTTTGTATCTGTGTTCATAAGGGACATCAGTCTATAGTTCTCTTATAATATCTTTCTTTGGGTCTGATCAGGGTAATGCTGGCCTCATAGAATGAATTTGGAAGTGTTCCCTCTTCTTCGATCTTTTTTAGAAGAGTTCTTGTGAAATTAATCTTATCTCTTCCTTAACTGTTTGGTCACATTCACCAGTGAAGTGTGGAGTTTCTCTGTGGAAAGAGTTTTAACTATAGTTTCAATCTCACTAATAGATACAGGGTTCTTCATATAATATTTTTCTTCTTGGGTAAACTTTGGTATGTTGTGTCTTTCAAGAAATTTGTCCATCTCATCCACTGCAGTTATAAGCAAACTGCTTTACACCCTGGCAGAGATGCTTGGGGAAAGCTCTGTTATCTCCTTGGAGGGCAAACCTTTGTGCACGCCCCCTTTTGTCCCCTGTGGGATCCCAGCAGAAGGAGGGTAATCCCTTCACCCAGTTGCCAAACAACCCTCCCATCCCTGAACCTTCCTCCCTCCCTCCCTCCCTGAAAGATCTGACCTTTCCAAACTACTTCAGATTCCATTGAAGCAGACCATGTTCTCCCCAGGGACCCCTGTTGGAGGGGCCTGTACTTTTTCTTTCTTTTTTTTTTTTTTTTTAGCAACACCCAAATGCTCTATCTTTTGCTTCCCTTTCCCGCGCTGCCAACTTCTAACCACAAGAGTGACTCTATGCTTGTCTATTTAAAAAAAAAAAAAAAAAAATACAAAAGAAGAAACAATGTAATGTCCATTAACAAGAAGAACAGTTAATTGTGATTACCTGTTCAGTGGATCTGTGGTACTGATAGGGGAAAATCTCCTCTGTGTACTATGAACTGGAAGCAAACATCCATATAATATCTAGTGTGATCCAATATATGTGTTACTAAAAAAGCAGAATAACAAGAAACAATATATTAGGGGTGTATGTGTGTGAGAGAGAGTTTGGATGGCGATACTAAAATAGATGTGGAAGAATCCTCATTCCAAAGGCAATAATAGTATCTTCTAGAGTGGGACTTTGATATTTCTACTGCATATACTTCTATATTGCTTACATTTTTTTAAATCAAGTATGTATACTATTTGTCCTTTTTTTATGTATTTTAAGAAAGTAGCCTGAACTCAAATTCAGTATTAAAAATATGAAATCAGTTCACCTTAATTCAAATCACAGCCCTAATATTTGTTAATTTTATAAATTTGAATAAGCTATCCTTTCTGAGTTTGTTTCCCTATATGTAAAATGGAGATAGTGTTGTTTCATGAACCTATAATGAAGATTATGAAGACATAATACATATGGAATGGTTAGTATATTACCTGAAGGATTTCCAAGTTCATTAAAATTAAGCTGCTGATAATTACTTTTGTCTTCATTGTTATTTATTTGAGCAAGATTAATATGTCATTTCACATGCAGATGGTTTTGATGACCTCAGTGTTAAATTTAGCTTTCAGTATTTGGGTCATTCTGATGTCCTGGTTATATAAGAATATCCCCATTCCAGATATTTCTATAATGTGGTGGTACCATGTACAGGAAGCACATTGGCCTCCCCGGCTATCCTTTCTTCATTGTTATCTTGATCTGTTTCTCTCAGTTTCTCTCAGATCTGTTTCTCTCAGATCTATCCTGCTATTAGGAATTGCCACAGTTATCAGCTTCTAGAACATGTGGATACATATGCTGCCTGATTTTGGTGTGATGGTATTTCTTATTCATCTGTGCCAATTAGACAGCAAAGATGAATCTGACATTTGATGATAATCTGATTCAAAGATGGTCTGACATTTTAGTGTATATCCAATAAAACTGTCATGTAACTCTTAGTACAGCCGCAATTAATTATCTTCTTCTTTTCCTGGGAAATTATTTTTCCCTCTACCAAGAAAAGATTTGTTGTGCATTTCTTGCTGCAGTTAGGTGAGTGAAGAACTACCTTCCTGTTTCTCATTACAGCTGTCCCCAATCTTGCCATGCTGGAAACAGTGGATTCCATGAAGTTGGCAGACAAAGTGAACAGTTCGTGGCAGAAAAAAGGTTCTCCTGAAAGGTTAAAGGTTATGGTCCAGGTTAACACCAGTGGTGAGGAAAGTAAGTGACCGTAGCTGAATTATAGCTTTTTTTCCCCTTAGAGTTGAAGCTCAGGCAGGCCTAAGTATCTGATAGCTACAGTTCTAGAAAGAAATTACAGACATTTAAGCTATTTTGTGTATGATCTAGAAGGCACAGTGACATCCAGTCGAGTCCACGTGTTATTCTTTAACACACCATGATTGTTATTTCCTAATTATTGAGGGAATAGGACAATGGGAATCAAGATTGTGACTTTAATCTTCTGGAAACTCCCAAAAGTCAACCATCAGTCCTGAAAGAGGTTTCAAAGTTACATGTATAATATATTTCACATCTAAGCCCTCCTTGGTGGCGCAGGGGTAAAAGCCTCAGCACTGTCAAGCTGTTGGCAGCCACTGTGGCATGAGTTCAGTCCCCTGCCAGGGAGCTAACCCACATGGTGCAGCAGACCTCTCCTGTCTTGCCCACTGCTGCTGCTCTGGGCAATGGGTTTCAGTGGATCTGCCTGTTCTGCTTCCCACTCTGTCTCTATTGAATCTTCTCACTCCCCGCACCTCTGGCCTAAACCCCAGATCTTATATACATAAATAAATAAATAATAAATCTTAAAATATATATATATATATATTTTTTTTACATCTCTAAAATTGCTTACTGTTACATTGGGAGAAGATATGAGAAAGAGCACTGAGCACTATGAGTCAATGAGTATCTTCAGCGTCTTGGCTTAACAGTGTAATACAATGAACATGAAGCATGGGCTTTGTGATCAGACACACCTTGGCTTTATTTTTTTAAAGATTTATTTATGCATACAAGAACTGGGGTACAGGCCAGAGATGTTGGGGGGGGGTGGGTAAGAAGATTCACCAGAGACAGAGTGGGATGCAGAGACAGGGAGACCTACCAAAACACTGCTGAGGGGAGCAGCGGGTGAGTCAAGAGAGGTCTGCTGCACCATGTGGGTAGCTCCCTGGCTAGAGGTCGAAATCTAGTGCTACAGTGGCTGTGGAGAGCTTCATAGGTTGCATCTTAACCCCTTGCGCCACCAGGGGGCTCCACACGTTAGCTTTAAACTTAACTATTTCCAACCTTGGGGAAGATACCTAACTTCTCTGTACCTCAGTTCCTTGTCTAGTAATGATATAATGGTACCTACTTGAATCGAATGTGGTATTGCAGGTAAAGCTATTGGCATATATGCCTACACAGGTTACTTAATTGTTTGTTAAGAATAAGCATTTATAAATTGGTCATTGACTTACATGTAGAGCATGTAGAGCACCACTATTCAAATCTGTGCAACAGGCATATAACGGGGAAGGCAGGCTCTCTGGATTCAAATTCCACTGCCTCAGTTCCTAGTTGTGTGACCTTGGAAAAAGTACTTTATCTTGCTAGGCCTTAGTTTCCTCATCTTTAGAATGAAGGCAATAAGAACATTTACACCATAGAGTTATTATATTAAATGAAAAGCTCTTAAGGCTTGGCACAAGTGCCTAGCACAAAAGTAAGTAAATTATAACACCTATTATATTTACATGCAGATTGTATATTATACTATCAATATAGTAAATCTGAAGTTAACTGTAAGTCAAGTTTATTGTATCATTTTTCATAACTAGCTATAATTTGCCCTGATTAAAAATTGAAATAAATGTTTTTTGCCATCTTCTCTTAATAAAAGAGAATATCAATAATCCTTATAACTTCATGACAAACAATGTTTGTTTGTTGCAGATTGCTCCTCTAGTTGATTGGCAGGTTCAGTTAAATTTTACAAATATATAGTCAAAACTATTTAATATATACTTACTTTTTTTTACAGTTCTACTCATAAAACAGCATAACTGTAGAAATACCAGATTTAGCAAAATAACTCACATTCTCTAGCATTTTGGCAATGTAAATCCTCTTGGTGTCCCAAGAAACACAGTGTCCTTTTTCTTCCTACTACTCTAGCTTTTCTCATCTCAGATACTAAGATAAAGAGGGTTGCATTTATTGCTCTTTCCTTGGGAAATTCACAACCTGACCAGAAAGGGCACAACATAGACAAGACCTCAAAATTAAAGTTACTTCTTAGAACTTGAGGACAAGTTCTTTCAAAAAGTCCCCTTATCTGAGAATCACCTCTGTTATAAGGAAGGGATGAAAAGGGAGTCTTTTTCTATCCACTTAATACATTTTGGTGTAAGTGTCTTTTGTTTATTTCTGTGAAGGTAAACACGGCCTTCTGCCTTCAGAGACAGTAGCAACGGTGGAACACATAAATGCCAAGTGCCCCAGCCTGGAATTTGTGGGGCTGATGACCATAGGAAGCTTTGGCCATGACCTTAGTAAAGGACCAAATCCAGACTTCCAGGTACTGGGGGCTAGAGAGGAGGGATTGCTCACAAGCTAAAGAAGCATCTTAGTGAAATGCTATTGCAGGACTGACTGTTGTAGTAATTTCAGAGGCATCCCAGACACCGCCCATCATTATAACCTGCTTCTAAAGTTTTCTCATAAGTAAAAGAGAACAAATTCCCAAAGCCCCACAGACCTTTCTCAACTCAATTTGAACCTGGCTAAAACACAGTCTTTAGAGAAAATGATCTCTTTATTCCTCTCCAATGACTCATAGTTTTGTTTACTTTTTGAAAGTGAGTCTGCTAAAAGCCCTCTCAGTAGCTTCTGGCAGTTTTCACAGGCTCTGAAACAAATAATTCTTGTCAGAGATGTCCAGATTCAGCCACTTTGAGGCATCCTTCAAGAAGGCAGGAATAAAATAGGTGTCAACCTTGTCTTTCTATCAGTTGTTACTGTCTCTCCGGGACGAGCTGTGTAAAAAGCTGAACATCCCTGTGGACCAAGTTGAACTGAGCATGGGCATGTCCATGGACTTCCAGCATGCAGTGAGTGTCTTTCTGGGTGCCCTTTCCTCTCTTCTGGGTCCAAAAGACCACAGCAAGAGTCAGTATTTGCTGGAGAAATTTTGAAATGCCTCATTATATCAGGTCCCTAGTGGAATGGTTCTCAACTATTCCAACATCCCCCTCCCTCCTTCTTTTTGGAAGTGAAATGTGTAGGAACTATAGCCTGACACATAATGTCTTTAACTTAGTACAATCCCTTAAGTATGAGCTATAGTAAAATCAGAAGAAATTATACTGTAATTTTTTTTAAAGAGCCATTTCGCTATATAAATGTCTTGGCATGGATATATGACTGTAAGTCATAATGAGCTAATCTGACATTTAACCTCATGCTTATGAAGGTTATTAGAAATTGGTGATGGGTATGATGTAGTATGCATTTGAAGAGACGTGAGGTTGGACTCAAAACTTACACAGCGCTCCAAAGCAATGTTATCTCAATTTAAAAATAAACATTATGTATAGATTCTCTATAAATGCAACAACTGTAAGTTTATGCTAATATATATATGCTGTACTGGCAACTCCAATACATCATTTCCTAGAATAGTAAATAACTTGATAAAGTTCCATAATCAAAGTATAAACTTCCCTCTGTATATTAAGGAGTTGCATTCATAGATAATTTCACATATTAAAACAGTGCAAAAATGCTGTGTGTTTATAAGTAAAATATAATTAGATCCCTTGCTCAAACAGTGAAATGCTTTCATCTACCCACCAATGGGTATTCAAAAGGTGTGCAGGCCAAAGCAACTCTAGATTGTTCTTCTTGCTGTCCTACACATCTGCCGTTTGGTTGGTCCCCACCCAACTAAATGCTAGTCAGATTCCCCAACCACTGTGAAAGCCATAGAAATCCTTCCTTATTTCTTAGCTAACCCTCGGAGTAACCCTTAGAAGTAGTATTCCCCCAAGGTGGACCACTACCCCCTAGCCCTTCAGCTGTATTGCCATCATTCTTCCTAGAAGACTCTTGAGAGCCAGAATGAGAGGCACAATTTAAGCATTTGCTGAATTTCATTATTTTCAACCTGGCCTTTGATACTTTCTCTTCTGCCCACAGATTGAAGTAGGATCTACTAATGTTCGAATAGGAAGCACCATTTTTGGAGAGCGAGATTACTCAAAGAAACCTGCCCTGGACAAGTCCACAGCAGACATAAAGGCCTCAACGGAGGTGGCATAGGCACACTGAGCTGAGGAACAAGCAGTAGCGGCTCCCAGCTGTGGGCCCCGTCTGGGACATCTAACTATGCACTTACCTGGATTTTCATTTTGATGTTCCCTATGTTGCAGCACAACCATGCTCCCCTGTGACCAGGAGAGAGAGCAGTAATGATTGTGTGTGTTGGTGAAAAACATCTGTACTTAGTGTCTGACATAGGAAGCTCACATCAGGTAGTAACTTTGGATTAGATTCAAGAAATCCAGACATTTCTGCAGAACAGATACCAAAAGAGAAGCCAGGAATTGGCTTCAGTATTGAGCACCAAGCAAGCACCCCGTGAATGCCTTTCCCAGGTTAAAATTTGGTCACTGATGCCTCTATTTACCAAAGTCAGAGGAATTCCCGTTTGTCATCCACCTTATTAGAATATGCCCTGTGGTTACCAGCTTCATACAGGCCCCTACAAAGTAGTCATCTTTGCTGCTTTGCGAGGTGTTTCTATTCCCAGTTTCTATCCTACTGTCTAAATATTTGTCTTTACTCTGGAACAGCAGTACAGGTCACTTCAGAAACTGGCTCCAGTTAATGCTCCAAATCAAAATTGTTAATGAGATGTTGTGTCATTGGTCACCCTGTGGCATTGACCCTGAAAATTACAGGGGGGAAAATAAACAGGATTTGTACCTGTGTAATATCCTCCTTTGACAGGACTTTGAGCTTTTTCCTTTGGACCCTACAGTGATAAGTGAAAAGTCAAGGAGGACTTTTCTCCTCCACAGTAATCCTCTTTGTGGTGACTTCTTATCAAGGAACTCCTCAGAAATTTAAGAATTATTCAGAACCAGTTCAGGCTTACAGTTTTAACAAGGTCTGGCTTTGAGGTTTGTGTTCCCAAGGAGCACTCTCGGGGCATATTATTAGCCTTCCCCAACCCCTCCATAAGCCAGAATTTTGTAGCTCTTCTTGATTGTTGATAAAGTAGCAAGATCTTCAAAGTCCAGAAAGCACAAATAGTCATGACAGATTACTTCAGTCTGGTGGTTTCTTTTCTGGATGGTTTTTCCTATTTATTCAAGCCCCAGTCTTTAATTATATGAAATAACTTTGAGAACACTATGCTGCTGCCGAATGTAATTTTGTAAAACTTAAACCATTATGATTCCTGTACTGTTTGAATCAAAGCTATAGTTGTGATATTTCAGCGTCTATTAAATAAAAATGTGAGTTTGAATTATACCATCTGTGCCAATTACAAAGCAATTAAAAGATTTCTTTTTTATGATCTGGTGTAGTGAGTGAGTATAACAGGAGGGGGCATTGGAACCAACAGGAAGCAGCTGTGCCTGTCACTTGGCATTGTGCCATCCAGCCTTAGAGATAGAATTCCCTAGGGTCACAGATGCAGCCAACACCACATCATGGATGAGTAAGGGATTCTGTATCTCTAAGGGCTAGAAAATGAAATTTGACATTTCAGAAATAAAAAATCGAGATTCCTCTTGCTGCATGAAACTCTTTCAAATTGCCTCTAGGTGGCGACATTGGCAAACCTGAGGGACCAGCATTGGGACTCCACTCTCCGCTTATTACCTTGGAAGGAATTCTTGGTTTGTCTCACCCTTTCTTATAGAGCAGAAACGCACCAGAGGGGACACCATTTTCCCGAGCAACAGGGCTGATTCAGAGACACTATGTTCGTTCCAATACCTCATTTCCTTGCTGACTTGGCTAAGGGTCCTGAGGGTGGCTATTGAGCCCCTTCAGAAGAGGTGAAATGCTCTGAACAATAAAAAGCTCTCTGGCTTTTGCCTAGAGATTGAAAACTATGAAGGAGGAGATAAGCCCAGAGAGACTGAATCAAACACAGGTAAGGAAAGGAAACCAAATTGTGTCTCGCATCTTCACAGCAGGATAGGGTCTCCTGTGGAAAGAAAATTGAGCAAAGTTGTAACTTCGTCTTTTGAACGTGTGACAGGCAGCAGGTCTGAATACTCCCAGATTCTCATCCAAGTGGTGACAGCATGACCAGCAGATTTCCTGAGTTACAACAGTATGCTATCCTGTTGCTCTTTCACACACTGCACCCTCCCCCCTACACACACACACACACACACACACACACACACATATAAACACACAATGTAGCAGTTATAACAGTGCTGCCAGTGGCCAGGACCCTTGTCTGCCCTAGCGCCAGCTAGGATCAAGTGGCTCCCAATAAATCCATCAAGGTGGGCCTCCCTGGTGGTGCAGTGGGTTGAGTGCAGCACTGTGAAGCCGTCCGCAGCCTCTGCAGCACAGGTTTGATTCTGGGCCAGCGGTAGACCTCTCCTGTCTCCTCGCTCGCTGCTCCCCTCAGCAGTGTATTTCAGTCCTTCTGTCTGTTCTGCTCCCTGCTCTGTCTCTGGTGAATTCTCTCACCCTCCCACACCTCTGGCCTGAACCCCAGTGCTTGTATAAATAAATAAATCTTAAAAAAAAAAAAAAAAGAATCGTCTAAAAAAAATAAATCCATCAAGGCTTTGTCCTCAGACATTTGTCATAGACTGTTGCATCTCTAAAAGCAACCTCATTGCTTAACAATGGAAGACAGTGGGAGAAATACATCATTAAGCAAGTTTATCATTGTATGCATGTGACAGGGGGCATTTACACAAACCTAGGCTACTTCATACTAGGCTCCGTTCAGGGACTACCTCCTATAGGCAGCTGTTATTGGCCCAAATGTTTCTATGCAGAGTGTGACTAATTGCACTCCCCTCCCTCCTGCTTTAAACATTCACAACACATAAAGTACTGTCTCCTACAGCCTCTCATTTTACCCTTATAACAGTTGGTAGGGTGGGGCCTTCCTGGTGTTTCAGGGCTATTGAGCTATCGCCAGCCACTGAGGCATGAGTTCGACCCCCACCCAGGGAGATAGCCCACATGGCATGGCAGACCTCTTCTGTCTGGACCGCTGCTCCCCTCAGCAGTGTATTTCAGTAGATCTTCCTGTTCTGCTCCCCACTCTGTCTCTGGTGAATCCTCTCACCCCCTCCCACGCTGCACCTCTGGTAGGGTAATGGAAGCTGTTTGGCAGTGCCCCTTTGTGGATAGGGCACCGAGGTCCAGAGAAGGAGATTCCGTGCTCGCCTTGTTTGAGATCAGAGGTCAGTGGTTGCACCACAAATAAACTCAAGACTGTTAACTTCTGGTCACCACACCACATCGGTATCCTTTGTTGTCTCAGGCTGTAATAATTGGTAAGTGACATATTCTTTAATTTACAGGCTTCATCTAAGAGCACCTCACTGCCATAACAGATATGTATATTTTTCAGTCTATTGTAATTATTGAGAAAAGGCACATCTTAATGCAGAACAAACTCTGAAACCACAAGCAGTGGGAATGAGAAGGAAGAAGTGATCACAAGTGGAACAAGGCTCCTGCCCTCCTGTCTCCCTCATACATTTTCCTCCCACAGCTTCAATCATCCCACTGGCTGCAGGGTTCCAAGTGTACAAAACGGGACCCTTCACCCCTAGAGCTACACTGGCAGTGAATTCCGTTCCCCAAGGCTAGCCACAGGAGGAATGAAGTTGAATGGGACAGTCTTTTTTTGTTTGTTTGTTTTTAAGATTTATTTTATTTATTTATGCATACAAAAGCTGGGGTGTAGGTCAGAGGTGGGGGGTGGTGGTAAGAGGATTCACCAGAGACAGAGTGGGGAGCAGAACAGGAAGATCTACTGAAATACACTGCTGAGGGGAGCAGCGGGCAAGACAGAGGTCTGCTGTGCCATGTGGGTCAGCTCCCTGGCGGGGGATCGAACTTATGTCGCAGTGCCTGCCCACGGCTTCATAGTGTTGAGACTTAACCCTTGCGCCACTGGGAGGCCCCAGTCTTAAATCCCAGGAATCCTTGTCCTCGGCAAAAGAAGTGGCTCTGGTGTTCCAACCAAGCTGAGGAGGAAGGCCTCGCCCACCAATTCCTGAAGGGCCGAGATAAGGGTTGATGTCGTCAGCGGTGTAGTTGAAAGTGACTTGCCTGGGAACTGTGACTGTCTTTACCATGAAATCAGTTGAATGCTATTACATCAGCCTCATGACTAAAGACACAAGAATCCAACCACCCACCGAGATGTTTGACTACTCTGCCCTCTCCCCTTAAGAAGCACATAGGTAAAGAAAAGGACTTTCTCCTCCTCCCAGGCTCCATCAGTGAGTATATACTACAGCCGTGTGTAGAGGGCTCTTAAACTTAAGCTCTCCTCCTATAATCATTTCTAGGGCCCAGGGGACCTCAAAATGAACACTTTTTTTCCTATAAAGTCTAGCATAGTTGAGTTGAAATGGCAAGCAGTGGGGACAGAAATTGTGGGGGTGGGGGCAGCAGGAGGGTCACTTTGCTTTTTTTCTTGGATTTAAAACAAATTTTGCAAGCCCAAGCTCCTGAGCTCTGAGATTGTAGAGGAGCAGACGCCACCCTTTCAGTGCCAGAGTTCCCTCCACCAGTTAGCTGGCTGAGCTCCTCCAGGGTGTCCACCCCCACATGCTCCCCAGCTTCGGAGCTAAACTTGACCCAGCTGCCAATCTCCAAAATAAAACCAATGTGTGACCTTATTCACCAGCTGTACCGAAGAAACTAGCAAAAACGAAGGCCAACTTTGAAGCCAAAAAGGGAAGATGAGAAGTTGGGAGAGAGAGAAGGGGGGTGGGAAACTTGGCTGGACATGAAAGGTGTCTTGTCTGTTCCCCATTAGGCCCAATTCTCTTGCAATCTGCAGCCTCGACATAATTCTCTTGACCAGAAACTCTCCAGAGAGATAGTGTCAGAAGGAAAAACAAACAGAATAGCATCTCTGACAGCAGAGCCACTTAAAAACCTCTTTGGGAATGGGTGGGAGAGAGGAGAGACGTTTAGCAGTAGGGGATCACACCCTCTACAGGTTACTTGTGGAGACAGGCTTACCCCAAAACTAGACTAGGAGAGGAAGGTGAGCTCAGGGGAGGCTGGTGTGCAAGGACAAGGCCAGCTCTAGGAAGCAGAACCCCAGGCCCTTCTGCCCCACTGGCCTTTCTCATGCCTCCAGATCCATCTTCTATGGTTTTCTCAACTGTGTGCTGAACACAAAAGCCCATAGTGGATTGAGAAAATTTGGGAGGATTGCTGTAGGAAAAAGTGGTCCCAACTTGTCCTAACTCTACTTCCTATTTCTGCCACCAGCAAGCCAGAGACTGAGAACACAGCTACCCTGTAAGCTGGCACCTCAGACAGCAAAGGTCTCTCCTCAAGTCCCTCTGGCCTGCCTTTGAGCTAAGCCTCTCCTGTTGGGGAAGCCAGGCCCCCAGCAGGAGCCCCTGGGCTAAGGATTCTGGAGTAGGGAGTGCAACGCAATAGAGGGCACCTTCAGCGCTCAAGTTTCTGGGGCAGGCATCCTGTCATAGGAGAGAACTTTTTTTTAAGGAAGAAAAACTAATCAGAAGAAAGGAGCAAGAGCTTTTCCCTGCCTCGGACTTGTTTATTACTCGGATATCTGATTTCAGCAGAGGAAGCCGGCACTGAAGCAAGGTTTTTATTGGCCGTGAGCAAGAGGAATTCAGGGTTTGCCTTTGATTTGGCTTCCCCAGAACATGAGGCACTGAAAAGTGTTGCTGCTTTGAAGGAGCAGCTCAGTACTTTGGGAGCCCCACAACTCCCTGTTTCTGCAGCCCCAACTAAAATGCCCTGTGGAGGGTGAGGGTGGAGCAAGGGGCCCCTGAGTGGAAGGTGGCCTCAAGAACATTTCAGAGAGGAAAGTAAGATAGTGGAGAAAGTTAAAAAGTTCTGAAATTGGCTCCAGAGGAGCACAAGCAAGGCTTGTGCTCAAAGGCCCCCTCCCCCTGAGCGGGGAGCTGGAGGAGGGAAGGTCTGGTTTGGATGAAAGCACAGTGTCTCCAGCCGACAGAGCTAAGCAGGCTGCAGTCGGCAGGCCTGCCTGATGGTTTCAATGTGTGGGGAAGATAAAGCCAGAGATCTGTAGAGGCCACTCCTGCCAGCAGTGCTGCTCCGCTGAGGCTGACCTGGGGCTGTTCAGGGCTCTGGGTCAGGGGTTTACCAGGTGGAACACAGGCCCAGGAAACTGCTGCTGCCCCCCTGGCTACCCACAGCCACCTTCACACACAAACAGCCTCTGCTAAGGTTCTGGAGCCCCAGCCAGCCTGACGTCATCCTAGGTCAGCATAACCTTCCTGCCTCCTGCTGGCTTCCAAAGGGGTTGGGGTATCTCCCCTAGAGAAAGAGGCAGTGTCCCTCCATTGGGGCCTCTGGGTTAGCTCATTCATCTCCCTTCTCTGTACCCTATTTCTTTGTCTTTTAATATTTGCTGACATTTTTAATAGCTTCATAGCATTTGATGATTTTTTAAAATTTATTTTTATTTATTTATGCATACAAGAGCCGGGGTACAGGCCAGAGGTGCGGGGACGTGTATGTGTGTGTGTGAGATGAGT